CCCATTAATCTCTTTGTTTTAACTAATATAAGAATAAAATTTTAAAATATTTTTGGCAATCGAAAATCTCTAGCAACTATTTCTTTTAAAGAATGTACTTAATATCTTCCTCTTCCTATCTTTCCCTCTTTTTTTAGTACTTGGGGCAAGATGCCAGCGAGTAAATTGAAAAAAAGTATATAGAATATAGGAACCTTTTGTAGGATGAACCTTACAAATAAAAACTTACATCATCCTACTTTAATCCTCCATAACATTCAAAAGATCATAGTTATTTGCTACATGAAATTTCTTTATAATTAAACAAAAAACATTATTACTTTTAACATCGATGACCTTAGCTAATGAATATGGTGTTGTTGAGTTGACTATTTCCCCTATTCTCTTTTGTTATTTTAAATAAGAGAGAGAAAGGGTCATCTGCATGTAATTAAGAAAAATTAAGTTGTTCTTAGCACTTGCAGAACATACGTTCTGAAGCCAAACATGAAAATAAAATATCATCAACTTTATTCTATAACCTTCAATCACCGATGACCACTCAAAAGTTAAAACCAAAAAAACTCAAACGTTAAAAATTGTACCAAAATTCTCATTCAACCGGCTATTATGTACCAAAGTACATAAGTTATATTCTAACTCAAAATTTCCATGAACAATTAAGGATTCCCTTGAATCATCTTTGAACTAATTCCTGCAACAGGCTTCCCGATTGGTGACTGAGAAGAGTGGAAGCGATCAATGAATGACAATAATACATTCTTGAAATTAAAATTAATAAGAGTGAGAAATAGTAAGAAGGGTATGTTAAATATAGGTGCCTTGTAGACAATGATTGTATATTGTAACAGAACCTATATGAATATAACATCCTTGTTCAAAATGATAGTATGTTATTTTGATCAGATTTATTTGGTATTTTAATACAGATAAAGTCCTTAGAATGATACTAGACTATCAGACATTTCGGATATGATCGTAATGAAGAGATCTGATTTGTCGCTAACATTTATTCTAAAATGTTCCTAACCGATGAAGTGTTGAAATGGGACATCGTCACTTTGGGAAGACTAGTGTATACTCTATTTCTCCTTTGGTAGGATGATGATCCATCTCTTGGATCATTGATGTGAGACATCAAGATATAGTATACAGGTGACTCATTAGTAAATAAGTTGACTGAATGACTCACTGAGAACATCTAGTTGGTAATTATACTTAACTGTTAAATAGAAGTTCTCAAGTGATATAGTACATAGTAGTCTCTTGACCTGAGGTATGAGTGTAATATCTTACATGTCAGTATAGGTGTACTTAGACTTTTACCTAACCACAGTTCTCATTGAGTATGTCAGTATAGGTGTACTTAGACTTTTACCTAACCACAGTTCTCATTGAGTTATGCATAACGGTTCTTATTGGGTGCATCCCGAGACATAAGTAGATATTGAGATGTCAAGATGTGATTCATCTCTCCCAGTATAAGGGGTTGATGTCATAAGATTGTTTGATATAACTATAGCCAGGAAATCCTTGGCCGAGGTAAATAAGATAAACTGAGTGTCAGTTTAATCTTATAGGTTATGAGTTTAATATCAACAAAAACTAATCGAGCTATTAGGATTTGATAGTTTTCCATACCCTATGCTCGATAGTTTGACATGGCTTGACGAAGAGACCGGACTGTACAATATTATCACTGAGTGGTCCTGATAAAATTGTATTAGCATCTTACAAATATTTATCATAACTTATATCCGGATAGTTTTCATGTGTAGCTAGCACCTCTGTTGTACTTATGGATATCATCCACTGTCGAGTTCTTAAGTTGGGCTCTAGAGTCACACCAAGCGTGTACTTAAATCCTATGAAACACTATTTATAGAGTGATGCGTATGATTAATACGCATATATGATTTTACCGGATACACATAAACGGTTATGTATATCGGTAAAATAGGAATGCTATGTGCTTAGAGAATGAATTCCAATATTTTTCCCATAAAGTTAACTTTTAGTCAACTAGTTGATTTTTTTGTCAACAGTTGACTTTTGGTCAACTCATTGCCTTTTTTGGTCATATGATGACTTATTGGTCAATGATTGTAAAGTTACAAAATATCGTATTTATAAAATACCGTATTGATGTGGTATTTTTATTTATAAAATACGTACTTTATTATACCTTAATTAATGAGTCATGAGATGAGTCATTAAGGTGGTATGGTTTGGGAACATGGTTTTAGCACATAGTTTTGATTCTTCATGATTTATTGCATGACTCATGAGATGAGTCATTGCATGACTCATGAGAGAATTATTGTTTTGATGACTCATGGTGTGACTCATAGAATGAGTCATTCATGTCATGACATATTCTTCCTCTATAAATATAAGCTCTCTTTCTTCTTTCATGGTTAATAAAAAAATAAAATAAATGGTTTATTCATAGTTACTTTCCATAAAAGAAAAGAAGTAAGATCTACCTCTTACTAAACTCTAGCAATCTTTGAGTAAGAGGAAGTAGTAGGATTTTAAAGTACCCCGAGGTGGATAACTTGCCTTGTGTCTTAAGAAGACTCCGATTTTATCAAGCTCACTTGAAGACTTGGAGCTCCACTACGAAGAGATTTACTACTACAAGGAGCAAGATCTAGGGGTTGTTCGATCTTCCATCGAATCACGCTTCGAAAGTACAACTTTCTAACTCTTGTATGCTCTCTTTAATATAGGGATCATGTTAGATTCAATTAGGATGGTCCTATTTTGTTTTTCATACTCTCTACATGCTTAGTATTATTATACATACAGTCTTCCGTTGCATATTTTGTATGTATTTAGCATGATTTCCTTCATGGTATCAGAGCCATGGTTCCATCTAATTGAATCTTTACATGCATATCTAACTCATAGAGGACTTTGTACTTGCTTCTAATTACTAGTTTAATTAAAAGATGTTTAATGAAACTAGTTAATTAATACAAGTTGTTTTGTAATTAGTTATACTAGTTGATTCAAAAATGTTATTTTTGGTTCATAAGTTTTTAAGAGTAAAAACACTTGTACAAATTACAAAACACTTATTTACAACTAGTGTAGTTGTATGTTAGAAGCATGATAGTCCTATTTAAGTTAAGATAATCTCTATGTTATCTAGTTTTTTAATTTGTTGCATAACTAGATAGATGCATATTTCTTAATGTTGATTAAGTTATATGTTTTATATTATCTTACGTGGATGTTATGTTTATGGATGGTAGTGGACAACGATTCTCTTGCATTTATTGTATTGATGTAATATAGCTAGAAACGTAATGTTTTTTTATGACCTCTTCCCTCCTCGAGCATGGGCTATGCCTACGGGTTAAGGTACTTGCTCATCGATCATGGGCTACGCCTACGGGTATAGGCCCTTGTTCGGGTGGGGGGTTATGGTTGTTTAGTTTAGTTATTTTATTTAAAGCTTTTATTTTATATTCAATGCAATATTATTACCCATCCTACGAGATGGTTTTTCCATAATAAATGGGGCTTGCACGTCCTATGTATATGTGATTGTAATAATACAGGATTTGTAAGGGAGCTAGCACTGTAAGGAGTTGCAAATTGCTTGCCTATATGTAATTAGTGTAGTTACATTTTAATCCTTTAGTTGTCCACTATCATTCCATATTGCTATTACATATGTTGATATGTTGGTTGTGCCCCAATTGTAGATGTCAATACAATTGGGTGCCATATTCTGTAAAATTTATATCTCTATCTCACTAGAGAATAGTTTTTTATATAAAAAACCTTATTTTTAAACTTTGTGAGACATGGTAATAAGAGTTTATTGACCATAGAGTGGTGAGGCCAATATTAACATAGCGTTAGTGTGAAAGAAAAATAAACCTAAAGGGGTTAAAAGAAATGTATTTAGAACAAACTTTTAACTAGTGTCAAGGAAAGTAATTATGAGATATAGCTCATTGGGTGATGCCCAACTTAAGATTAGGGGTGATGCCTAATCTTTCGCGCTATAGTTTTAAAGAGCGGTGGTTACTTAATTAAGGTCCGATGAATATTCCCGGTGAATATCTCGGAACCCTCCCACCAATCTTGTACTTACCTGGCTAGTTTACTTGTTACAAGTATAAATATAGAGCATCTTTAAACTATATCAAGTTTGATTACGGTAAAATATTTACGAAATCGTCTGTATCCCTCCATCATTTCAGTTGAATACTACTAAGCTTATAAATACTTTGTTTGTTGACTATCGTCAAGACAATATTATTCTATGGCTAAGTAGTATTCATCTGTATATAAGATATACGGATAGCTTAAGTTGGTTATGCAACTTTGTTGGCCTTCGTCAAGAGTATGCATAAGTTAAAATTAAGCCGGTCAAGAAATGATGGGTCCAAAGTTAACTAGATTTTTATGATTTGTTGGCTATCGTCAAGGTCATAAAAGACTAGGGGCAAAATCATATCAAGAATTACAAGAATGTAAAAGACAAAAATTGTCTACCAATTATTGAGTATATCGATTTATTGGCCATCGTCAAGGTTGATACATTCAATGATAATTGGATCTTGATCCCACTTGAAAACAATGGGTTATCTTCTGATCACCTCTTATAAAGGTTTTGAGGGACTCGAAAAATAGTGGGAGGCATAACTTAGATAAAAAAACGAACCAAATCTATTTTATGTATTGAATATCTGCTAAAATATTTTTTCTCTCTCTTTCAGGCCATCATGTCTGGTTTAAAACTTATACTAGAACAGAACAAGTTAACTGGTCCTAACTACAAAGACTGGTTGAGAAATGTTAAAATTACCCTAACTTATAACAAAGTAGCATATGTCCTCACAACACCGAAACCCGTTCTAGGCCCAGAACCCATTGTAGCGGACAATGAAATCCGCATAAAGTAGGATAGAGGTTGTTCACTTGCTCAATGCCTCACAATTGCCTCTGTGGATTTAGTCCATCAGAGGCAACATGAGAATATGGATGTCAGATCAATATTTCGTAATACAGAAGAACTGTATGGCGAGCAACCGCGACAAATGAAGTACGCGACGTCTAGGAATTTGTTCCAGATAAAAATGACTGTGGAATCTTCTGTTGGGGACCATGTCCTCAAAATGATCACCTATGTCAACGAGCTTGAACTTTTGAACGCGGGTCCAGATGCATATAGATATACGGACATCATTCTGCAGTCCTTGACACCAGCCTACTCCCGATTCATATCACAGTTCTTGATGATGGATCTGAAGCCCACTCTTCCTGCCCTGCTTAATTTGTTAAGGCAAGAGGAAAGTTCTATGAAAAAAGGACAAACACCAGCCTTGGTTATAGGAAAATCTTCTTCCACTTCTAGCAAACTAGTTGCTAAGAAAAAGAGAATGAAGAAAACTACTAAACCAAAGAAATGTGTTAAGAAGGCTGTCAAGAAGGACAAAGGGAAGGCAAAAAGGATGACTGCAGAATGCTTCCATTGTCACAAGTCAGGACACTAGAAAAGGAACTGTCCTGAATTCCTAGCCTCACTCAACAAGAAGAAGCAAGTTGTTGCTTCATCTTCAGGTGTGTTGGTTACTCAAAATTGTTTTTCTATAAATCCTACATCTTGGGTATTAGATACCAGATCAGAATCTCACATCTGTAATTTGTTACAGGGGATGAGAAGTTATAGAAAGCTTGATGCTGAAGAGATGACCCTACAAGATGGTAATGGTGCAATAGTTGTAGCAGTTACGGTTGGGGATTTTTATCTAGCTTTACCAAATGGAAACATTTTGATTTTGAATAGCTGCTATTTTGTACCAACTATGATATGTAATATAATATCCATATCTTTATTAGATAAAGATGGATATATGTTCAAGTTGGAGAACAATGTTATGAATATCGTATATAATCAAAAGTTGATTGCTTATGGAACATTGTGTAATGGCATCTATATTCTTAATCAAAACACAATTCTGAATACTCATCACACTAATAAAAGAAAGCACTCAGTTTTGAACGACACTTTCTTATGGCATTGTAGACTTGGTCATATTAATAAAGAAAGACTTGGCGAGCTACATAAGCATGAATATTTAGATCCATTTGACTTTGAGTCTTATGATACTTGCAAGTCTTGTCTTAAAGGTAAAATGATCAAGACTTCATTTACGAGAACTGGAGCAAGAGTTACAGAACTCTTAGGACTAATACATAGTGATGTATGTGGTCCTATGTCTACAATGGTCAGTGGTGGCTACTCCTACTTTATTAATTTTACTGATGATTTTCCAAGATTTGGACATATGTTTTTGATGAAATACAAGTCCGAAACATTTAAGAAATTTATCGAGTATAAAAATGAAGTAGAGAATCAAATGAGCAAGGAAGTTAAAATTCTTCGATCAGATCGAGGAGGCGAATACTTGAGCTCAGATTTCTTAGGGTTTTTAAAAGAGAATGAGATTCTCTATCAGGTTACTCCATCCTATACACTACAGCTTAACGACATGTCAGAAAGGAGGAATTATACCCTATTAGATATGTTACGTTTCATGATGAGTAACGCTGAGTTATCTTTTTTATTCTGGGGGTATGCGTTGAAAACAACAGCACACTTACTTAATAGGGTTCCAACTAAAGTTGTGCCTAAACCTCCATATGAGATATGGTATGGGATGAAATCATATCTTAATTATATTAAGATTTGGGGATGTCATGCTTATGTAAAAAAGCAAGATCCTAAAAAGTTAGAGGCACGCTCAGTATTATGTAAATTTGTAGGATATCCAAGGAATTCTCATGGATATTAATTCTACCACATCGATGAATAAAAGATAATTGTTTCTCAGTATGCTACATTCTTGGAGAAGGAATTTCTTGAAAAAAAAATTAGTGGGAGCATGGTAGAACTGGATGAAATTTTAGAGATACAAATCAATACTGATAATTTAGTAGAACCAGAAAATCCAGTTGTACCAGAAGAACCTCAACCACTCCGCAGATATCCAAGGCGATCTCATGCACCTAAGAGACAATATGATTTTCTCATTGAAGGTAGCATGTTAGATCACGTCATAGATGATGATGAACCTTTAAGTTATCAGCAAGCATCTCAGAGTAGGGACTCTGTTGCTTGGCATGATGCAATGAAATCCGAAATAGACTCTATGTACACCAACAAAGTATGGGTCTTAGACAATGGTCCTACAGTGGTGATACACATAGGCTGCAAATGATTGTTTAAGAAAAAGTTGGGTGTAGATGGAAAAGTAGAGACTTTTAAAGCTAGACTGATAGCTAAAGGTTTTCGTCAAAGACTAGTTTGGACTATGATGAAACATTTTCTCCAGTGGCTATACTAAAGTCTATTCAGATCCTACTTGCTATAGTTGCTCACTATGACTACGAGATCTGGCAAATGGACGTCAAAACTACATTTCTAAATGGTGATTTAGAAGAGTGCATATATATGTCTCAACCAGAGGAATTTGTAGTCAGTGGGAGCAGTGGAAAAGCATGTAGGTTGCTTAAAACCATTTATGGACTGAAGCAAGCATCGCGGAGATGGAACATCTGTTTTGATGATACAATCAAAGAGTTTGGTTTCATCAAAAATTCAGATGAACCATGTGTGTATAAAAGGATAATTGGGAGTATAGTATCGTTTCTTATCTTGTATGTAGACGATATACTCTTAATCGGTAATGACATACCATCATTACAAGCAGTTAAAATTTGGCTATCAAAAAGATTTTTCATGAAAGATTTGGGTGAAGCATCCTGTATACTGGGTATTCAGATCTATAGAAATAGATCTAAAAGGATATTAGGATTATCCCAATCTAGATACATTGGCATAGTGCTAAAGCGGTTTAGCATAGAAAATTCTAAGAAATGTTTTGTACCTGCATCTTCTGGAATCTCGCTCTCTAAAAAGTTGTCTCCCCGGACTGATGAAGAGAGGAAACACATGAGTCTAATTCCTTATGCCTCGGCTGTAGGATCGATCATGTATGTCATGTTATGTACTAGACCAGATATCACTTATTCACTCAGTTTGGTAAGTAGATACCAATCTAATCATGGAGAAAAGCACTAAAAAGCGGTCAAAAATATACTTAAGTACCTGAAAAAAATTAAAGAGTTATTTTTGATGTACGGTAAAAGTGACCTCCAAATAGAGGCTTTTTCCGACTCTAGCTTTCAGAGCGATATCGATGATAGTAAATCTGATTCAGGATATGTTTTTATCCTCAATAGAGGGGCTGTCAGTTGGAAAAGTTTCAAGCAGGACACAGTAGCAAACTCTACTATGAAAGCCAAATACATTGTGGCAAATGATGCAGCCAAAGAAGCCGTTTGGATGAGAAAGTTCCTTTCAGAGCTGGAAGTTGTTCCCACCATTAAAGATCCAATACCTTTATACTGTGATAGTAATACTACAATAGCTCTGATAAAGGAACCCCGGTCTCACCATATGTTCAGACACATTCTGAGGAAGTATCACTTGATCAGGGAGATAGTTGATCGCTAAGAGATCAAGATTGAAAGAGTTGACACAAAAGATAATATAGTAGATCCATTCACAAAGGTAATTGCTCGTACACAATTTGAAAAACTTATTGAGCTATTGGGTATTAGATACTACAATGATTAGCCTTAGTGAAAGTGAGAGTTTGTTAGAGATAGGTGTCCTACAGGCAATAATTGTATATTGTAACATGACCTATATGAATATAACATCCTTGTTCAAAATGATAGTATGCTATTTTGGTCAGATTTATCTGGTATTTTAATACAGATAAAGTCCTTAGAATAATACTAGATTATCAGACATTTCAGATATGATCGTAATGAAGAGATCTGATTTGTCGCAAACGTTTATTCTAAAATGTTCCTAGTCGATTAAGTGTTGAAATGAGAGATCATCACTTTGGGAAGACTAGTGTATACTCTATTTCTCCTTTGGTAGGATGATGATCCATCTCTTGGATCATTGATGTGAGACATCAAGATATAGTATACAGATGACTCATTAGTGAATGAGTTGACTGAATGACTCACTAAGAACATCTAGTTGGTAATTATACTTAACTATCAAATAGAAGTTCTCAAGTGATATAGTACATAATAGTCTCTTGACCTGAGGCATGAGTGTAATATCTTACATGTCAGTATAGGTGTACTTAGACTTTTACTTAACCACAGTTCTCATTGAGTAATGCATAACGGTTCTTGTTGGGTGCATCCCTAGACATAAGTAGATATTAAGATGCCAAGATGGGATTCGTCTCTCCCAGTATAAGGGGTTGATGTCATAAGATTGTTTGATTTAACTATAGTCAGGAAATCCTTGGCCGAGGTAAATAAGATAAACTAAGTGTCGGTTTGATCTTGTAGGTTATGAGTTTAATATCAACAAAAACTAATCGAGCTATTAGGATTTGATAGTTTTCCATACCCTAGGCTCGATAGTTTGACATGGTTTGACGAAGAGATCGGACTGTACAATATTATCACTGAGTGGTCCTGATAAAATTATGTTAGCATCTTGCAAACATTTATCATAACTTATACACGAGTAGTCTTCATGTATAGCTAGCACCTCTGTTGTACTTATGGATATCATCCACTGCCGAGTTCTTAAGTTGGGCCCTAGACTCACATCAAGCGCTTACTTAAATCCTATGAAACACTATTTATAGAGTGATGCATATGATTAATACGCATATATGATTTTACCGGATACACATAAACGATTATATATATCAGTAAAATCAGAATACTATGTGCTTAGGAAATGAATTCCAATATTTTTTCCATAAAGTTAACTTTTAGTCAACTAGTTGACTTTTTTATCAACAGTTAACTTTTGGTCAACTCATTAACTTTTTTGGTCATATGATGACTTATTGGTCAATGATTGTAAAGTTATAAAATATCGTATTTATAAAATACCGTATTAATGTAGTATTTTTATTTATGAAATACGTATTTTATTATACCTTGATTAATGAGTCATGAGATGAGTCATTAAGGTGGTATGGTTTGAGAATATGGTTTTAGCACATAGTTTTGATTCTTCATGATTCATTGCATGACTCATGAGATGAGTCATTGCATGACTCATGAGAGAATCATTGTTTTGATGACTCATGGTGTGACGCATAGAATGAGTCATTCATGTCATGACATATTCTTCCTCTATAAATATGAGTTCTCTTTCTTCTTTCATGGTTAATGAAAAAATAAAATAAATGGTTTATTCATAGTTACTTTCCATAAAAGAAAAGAAGAGAGGTCTACATCTTACTAAACTCTAGCAATCTTTGAGTAAGAGGAAGTAGTAGGATTTTAAAGTACCCCGGGGTGGATATCTTGCCTTGTGTCTCAAGAAGACTCTGATTTTATCAAGCTCACTTGAAGACTTGGAGATCCACTACGAAGAGATTTACTACTACAAGAAGCAAGAGCTAGGGGTTGTTCGATCTTTCATCGAATCATGCTTCGAAAGTACAATTTTCTTACTCTTGTATGCTCTCTTTAATATAGGGATCATGTTAGATTCAATTAGGATGATCCTATTTTGTTTTTCGTGCTCTCTACATGCTTAGTATTATTATACATATAGTCTTCTGTTGTGTATTTTGCATGTATTTAGCACGAATTCCCTTCAGGGTATTGCTAGGATCAATGAACCTTATATAGTCATCACCTTTATTTATATACTTTCGTCATGCAACATTTT